CGTACCACATCTCCAACACCTCTCGTTCAGAAGCATTTACGCCTCTCCACACGATGCGGATCTACTTTGCCGGCTTTTCATCTTTTCCGGCACTTTCCGGCGGCGGCATCCAACGCATGTGCTTCGCGAAGGGCTTCTGAAGGAATGGGTGCTTCAACAGCTCGGCGGCGCCCCAGCGCTCCTCCGCACTCACGCGCAGGCAATGGGAAAGGAAGTCACGGTACATGCCAAAGCACTCGTACTCGTCCCGTGTCTCCTCCCTTCCACTGAACTGCTGAAGCTCTTCTGCTGTCGGCAAGCCATGGGGTGGCATATTCATCTTCCCTACACGGTAGAGGAAGATGTAAGGGTTGATGTCACTCTCAATGTTCCAAATGGGGCGCTGCAGCATCTCTATGCCGACGCAGCCGAGTGCCCAAATGTCACCTGCTGTTGCCGGTGGCGCGCCGTGAATAATCTCTGGAGCCATCCACAGCGGTGAGCCCTGCATGTCCTCCCTTCCCTCAACCTCGTGGAGAGTACCACTGCAACCAAAGTCCGCCAACTTGCAGCGACCCTTCTTGGTGATGAGAATATTTTCACCCTTGATGTCGCGGTGCACAATCGCCATATTGTGCAGATAATGCAGGCCGCGAAGGATTTGCGTCATGTACTTCTGAATAACCAGAAGTGGCAGGCTGCCAAACTTTTTCACCATTGTGGAAACGTTACCGCACTCGACGTACTCCGTGAAGACACGCAACTCCCGCTCACGTTCAAGGTACGTGCTTCCTAGGAAACGGATGATATTCTTGTGACGCGCAGCCCGAAGCACGTCGAGCTCCTTCCGCATCGAAAGGAGGAAGTCCTCGTCTACGTTCTCATTCACGCGCACCACCTTCACTGCAACCACCGCGGAACAGCCCGGTAGAAGCCCGAGGTAAACAGTACCAAACGTTCCACGGCCTATTAAGTTGCCTAGCTGCACCTTTTCAAGGTCTTCCTTGCTAACCGAATCCATTACGCCACGACGTGCCACAGAAGAAGTTGTTGAGATACAGCTCGAGGTGCTCAGGTGCCGACCAAGGCGGCCCATGGAAGACATTGAGCGGAGCTTATCTAGTGCATCTTCATTAAGATGGAGCGACACTGACGACGTCTGCTTCATGGTGGAGGGGGAGGAACCATAATTCCCAGCGTGACGCGCAGCGTCGTTGTCTAACCGCTCCCGCGATGCCGACGCGTTATTCAGGAACGGCTCTAACCGCAGAAGCTCCACAATCTTTGGGTGGCGTATCAGGAAGTGGTTCTGTACCACCGCGTCAAGGAAATTTTGGCACTCCACTCGTCGTTCAGTGATGAAAGCTTCCGTCACACAACGCACGCTCGGCAGGCGGCGAACAGGTACTGGCGGTAGCGTATTCATTAATGTCTTCAGTTCGTGGAACGTGGGCGCCAGGTCAACAAAGTAGCGGCGTTTCACAGAATAAAGATCCTCCTTTGTGTCACGATCACGCACAAATAAAATAAAAGCGAGCTTCTTTGCTTCTACGCCTTCAGAAGAAGCTACATTGCGCCGACGGCCACCGTGTCGTTGCGATGCAGCGTCGTTGCTGCTAACACCTCCTAATCCTCCAGCAGGAGAGGCAACCAAACGCTGATCGAGAGGCCAGCGCGGCGTGATAAGAGAGCCTGAGCTTTCCTGACGCTGGTGCGCAGATGAAAAGTGCTTTGTCACAGTGAATTTACTCCCTGGTGCTGATGGAACGGGAGTAGCAGATTGGTTCATAGCACTCGTGCCCGACGACGATGATGATAAGCGACGAACATGAGAGAAAGAGATTGACTCATCTGGCGATGCGTAATGCTGAAATTCCACGGCAACATACAGACGATCAATATTGATATTGCATGGCATCATGGCATTCTCAACAACTCCCAACGGCTTTGGCTGCAGAGTCGAATCTCCAGGTGTGTGCTTATCCAGCAACGGATCTTCGCCATTTGCAGTCGCAGAGGCAGAGGACGATGATGTGGACGAGGGCGAAGAAGACGACACAAGAAGCTCCGCAGACGTCACTTCGCAGCGTCCAAACTGTCGAGACATGGGATCCACATGTGAAGGATGTGTTTGCAGATGTTGTGGCTGTTGCTGATTCGTGTTCGATCGTCGTGGCAACTTCTTCTTGTGGGTTCCTGCTACTGCCGCGACTGCAGGTACCCGCGATGAGTGCTTGCTTCCGCTGCTGTTATCACCCGCCGTCTTTGAAACAGCAAAAATAGTAGGCGGCGCCATCTTGCCACCGTCGATGGAGGACCGCAGCGAGTTAAGGCTGGGGCTTGCGGCTGTTGGGGTAACGGAACGGCGAGACCCAGCAGTGTGGTGGGTCTCATTGCGACCAACGGACGCGTTGGCAGAGAAAGGGTGTGGTGCCGAATTTCTGTTCTTCGCCTCGCTTGCTGTTGCAGCCGTTCCAATGGAGGATTTCCGCACCTCTGGTGTTCCCTCTCGGTTCACGTCAGACGCGGAGGCGTCCGGCAGGCTCATGAAATCATCTGCGCGGGGCGTCTTTGGGAGGCGGGCGTACGGGTCCGACTGTAGTAGCGGTGGAAGCGCAATGGAGGCGGTTATTTCCTCATCGTCGCAGTTCGACTCCACAGCATCCACGGCCTCAACGGCCTCCACCTTCTCAGCCCTCGGCGCACGCCTCACTCCGCTGCCCGAGTTGCGCTTGGGTTCCCCCGATGCGGCAGGTGCTGGGCTCGCTACAGATTTCATCGCGGACACAAAGCCCTTCTTCCCATCCTTTTTCACATGCACCTCTTTGTCCGCAATTCCCTTTTCATGCATTCCCGATCCCTTGTTATTTTCGATTTTTGCTTCATTACCTTCTGATTTGTGCACCTCCTTCGGTTCTGTTTTCTCCTTTTTCTCCGCATCCTTTGGATTGTCCTTCAACTCAAAAGATGCTCGTGATCTGTTTGGTGGCGCACGTGGTGGTATAGCAGGTGGCCCGCTCCTCTTGTGCTGTTTTGCCGGTGGCGACGGGAGCGACATGGCTACATCGTTTAGGTAACTATCATCGGTGGTCCGTGGTGTCGACGAGCACGCTGCATTGCTGGCAGAGCTGAGCACATCCGTCATAGGACGTCCTAAAGCAGCTTCTTGATAAACCGCGGTGTTTGAAATGTACTCCATGATATGCGGCTGATGGCCGTGCGAGTTGCCTCGCGGTGTTTCCGCCTGTGTCGACGAGTACCGCGAGCGTGGAGGGTGGAGCGGTGGGACCACTCGCACATCACTGGTGCTGTCGTGGGTGGCGGATCGTTCTGCTGACGTGGAGTTCAGTTCGTCGCTGTCCATCATACTGCTGTACGTCCAGCCAGCGGTGTCGCCTAGTGAAAGAAGCGCGGATGCGCCGCTACCCATCCGCGCCCGCGCCGTTGCCTGAGAGAGCAACTCGTTCGCTTGTCTGTGCTGTAGTCGCGCCCATTCCTTGTTGGCTGCCTTTCCCACGCAGCCGCTGCACTTCAGGCCGGACTTCCGCAGGACGAAGTCGGATCCAAAGCGGCCGCAGACCACGCAGAATGTGCGCGCCTCAAGCAGAATACTCTCCGCCATAGGGGAGCTGATCACAGATGATGCATCCAGATGAGAGCGGCTCCCCTGCATATGTCGCGCCTACCTATCCGTTGATGTATGCCCAATATAGTCTCCTTACTTGTTGGGTGCGCTGGACAAACGGGTTGGTGAGTGGAGGAGGTTCGTAGGGAATTGTGTGTTTGTGTATTTGCGCTTGTGTTTTTTTTTTNNGTATTGTGGTGTATGTTTGTGCGTTTGTTTGTTTGTTTTTTTGTGTTGGGCGTGGCAGGACGATTGAGTCAGGTAGGTGGATATATGCCAGGGAATATATCTGCACCTTTGGGGTGTCTTGTTGAGCGGTTCTCACTGGAGGAGAGGGAGGAGGCCGCCACGAGTACAAACCCCTGCCGACGCGAATAGCAATGAGGCAAAAAGCGATGAAACAAGCTCAGGACCCACCGAAGGAACGAAAAGAAAAAGACCAACGCCAACTGGATGCCTTGCGTCTCTCGGCGGTGGTGGGGAAAAGATCAGACGTAAGCTGCGCGAGAGCACCGGTCCCCCACACGCCCCTCCCTCTTTCCGGGTTTATTTTTTTTGTCTTCGCTCTCTCTCTCTGTCTGTCCCGTTCCCGACCAGACCTCGAAAGAGAAAAGACTAATGGGCGGAGCGTTCGAGGCGAAACTGTCGCTGCCCCTTACCTTTCCCCCCC